TCACATTTTATTTTCTATTTTGGAGTTCAAATTTGTCATTACAAAGAGAATTCCAAGACAGTAACTTCCCTGTAACATTGATTAACTATAACGTGGTTTCCATTTCCTGGCTGTGATGGGTAATTTTATGAGTCAACTTGACTGGGCCATGGGTGCCCAAACATTTGGTCAGACATGAGTCTAGCTGTGTTTGTGAGGGTGTTTCTCAATGAGGTTAACATTTGAATGAGCAGACTGAGTAAATCAGAGAGTTCTCCCAATATGGGCGGGCCCTGTCCAATCAGTTGAAGGCCTGAACAAGAAGGCTGCCTCTCCCAGGAGGAAGAACAGATTCCTCCTGCCCAATGCTAGTCAGGACACTGTTTTGTTTTTCTGCCTTTGGACTTACACTGAAATATTAGCTCTTCCTGGGTCTTGAGCCCACCAGCCTACAGACTGGAGCTGCACCATCACCTCTCCTGGTTGCCAGCCTTTCAGGCTCAGACTAGAACTAAGCTTGCTGACTTCAGATCTTGGGACTTGTCAGCCTCCATAACATAACTGCATGAGACAATTCCTTATAATAAATCTGTCTATCTATCTTTCTATCTACTTGCCTATCATATATATATATATATGGCTCCTAGTGGTTCTATTTTCTATTTCTCTGGTGAGCTCTAATACACTAGCTAATAAACCTATATTGATATCGGTATATTAGTAATATACCGATATTAATATTAATACAGCTTATGTGAATAAAATTAATTCTGTTTCAACAAATTCTTATGTAAATTCTCAAGTCCCTGTCATTTTAACACTGAGTCTAACTGCAAAGATCATCACTTTTGGTACATACAGCTACATTAGGACATTATTTTCCTTGTGAAATCTGAATAATACATTTAAAATTATGTAGCAATAATTTCAGGGATTTCTGGTATGTATTGGGTTCGATTTGGGGGACAGGAGAAGGGGTAACCCATCGTGTGAATGGGCCCTGAATACTCAGTTGTGTGAGTGGACAAGGACTCTTTCTAAAGAAAAAAGATCAATCCATTGTGAATAATTTGTCAAAGATTAATGTTTTATATTGCATACTTGTAGGTATAAAAAAAAATAAAAATATGCACAGAAATATTGTTTATGAAGTAGGAAAAAATGTATAACTCCAGTTTTCTTTTAACAAATACAGTGTGTAGCAGATATCCACTTTATGAAAATATATTTTAAAAGCAATAATACCATGATAAATCTCTGCTGAACACTACCACTATACGTTTCTATTTTTACTAAATTTGTTTAGAGGAACCGTGAAGTCTTTTTAAGCTTGCTAAATTCAAATTCCACTACTCTTAAGATAAGTAAAACCTGTATATGTAAGGGTCAAAAATGTATTTATAAACTCCAGAGTTCTTTTCAGTTAAAATATATAAATATTATACACACACACACACACACACACACACACACACAAACACACACACTTTGCCTCAGCAAAATACATTCTCATTGCCTTAACTCTTTAATTTATTGCAGATATACTCATCAGAATTCATGATAAAAAAAAGTCTTGTGTTATTTACGGCAATCTCTTAGACTATAAAGTAACTGCCTAACGCTGATGATGATGATGCTAATAAATGTTCACATTTATATGTATTTACCACATGTCATCTTCTATTCTAAGAACTTTATAGGAATTAACCAATTTTGTCCTCATGAAACCCCAAAAGATAGTTTCTATTATTATTCCCATTTTACAAATGAACAAAGTGAAAAACAGAGAGGCCACATTCTCTATGTAAGAGACATTTAAAAAAATTGTTTTGCCTTAATTCGTAATATTAAGAACTAGATACTCCCTATAGTAAGTCTCTGACTTACGAACGAGTTCTGTTCTGGGAGAACATTCGTAAATCGGATTTGCTTGTAAATCTGACTCGTTTGTAAGTCCGACAAAGTAAGTCTTACACACGTTTGACACAAATACACAACGTAAAGCCAGTGGTTGAACGATTCATGTTATAAGAACGAGAGACATCTACCATCTTTTCGCCTTGGTCCAATCTCTCAATTATTTTCACTTTTGTTTCCATGGTTATTGCTTTGTGCTTCCTAGCAGTCCCCTCCACGTCACCACCGCTTTTCCTCTTGCTTCCGGACATCCTGGGCTCCGATGGGACACTGCACTACTGTTCACTATCGCACTGTACAGTAAGCACACAGCAGCACAACTGTGACAATGTCCCACAGACACGTGAGCCAACTTCCATGATTTGTTCGCATCTACGAATATTCGTAATGCGAGGCCCGTTAGTATCTGTGAAAGTTCGCAACTCAAATGTTCGTAAGTCGGGGACTTGCTGTACTTGAGTTACATTGTGATATGAACTTTATAGAGTATCATCCATGCACTCATAAATCAAGATTTTATACAACAACAGAAGCAGAATATAAAGTTGCACTTCACACTGGTCACAGCTCTAGAAACGTCCGCCATACGCCCAGCCCAGGGCTAGAAACTGGTCCCCACAGGGCAGGACCCGCTGCTCCTCTGGGCGCTCCCTTCTGTCTCCCCCGCCGACACTGACAAGCTGAGCCCTGCTCATCACACACCCCGTGACACAGGCCAGCTGCTGCCCTGGACAGGAGCGCTAACGCCACGAAATCACCACCACTGTCACCAAGTCCAAGCCTCTTCACTTCCCCCACCCCCCACCCCGCCTGCTGCCATGTTTCCTTAGGCTTCTTCTTCACCAGTAACTCCTCCTAAAATACCCTCAGGAGAGCCAGCTGCAGGCACGGTGCCTCTGGTCCTGGCTCCGCCCCTCGCTCCCTGAATGAGGGAACTGCTCATGGCCCCAGGGACTGCAGTGTTCCTCTATGTAGGTCCTCCTTAAATATACAGTGAGCCCAGAGCTCCACACCTGAGCTCTCCAGGGCCTGCCAGCATCTCCACACAGACTTCCTGCTGGTCAGCTGTCCCCAAGCGGAGAAGCCCCCATCCTCCCCACACTCCCACTGGTCTCCACGCCCTCCACTGCTCTCCAGCTCTCCAGCAGGAAACCTCAAGGCCAAGCCCGGCAAGGCTCTGTAAACACAGCCCCACCCCCTTCTTGCCCAATCTCCTCCAGGTTCTAGAAGAGCAGGAAGCCGTGTTTTTCCCCAGCACACTCCACGCTCAGTCTCCGTCTGCGGAATCCTCCTCAAGCTCCCACTCAGCCATGAACTCTTTCTCGGTGACTTCCACTCAGCTCTGTTTTCTGCACCTTTCCAACCTCATGCTACTTAGGTTTCCATCTTCATGCAGCACTTCTCACATCCCGCGTTACAGCCGTGAGGCCGAGCCACAGGAAACGGCTCCTAGTTTAACCTATGCCACGGTTCAGCCTCATATTTCTGTTGACTTAGAATCCCTGCAAAAGGAGCCGTCTCAGCAAAAGCAGGGAAGGGTTTCACCTGTCTTTGGGATCCCCTGAGAATCCCAGAACGTTGGAGGTGTTTAAGAAGTATTCATCAAAATAAAGACTCTAAATCAGTAAATGTCTTTCCCGTATATGTGTCTAGAAATCAATTGTCTGCAGCAATTAGTCTAACCCATCAACTCGGATGGTAGAGGTAAAGATATTTAGAACCTGAAACTTCAACTTCTGCTAACATAAAGCATTTTGGTTCAAGGAGCTGTTTTAAAATCATTTAGTTGTGTAGGCAACATGCTTGGATTTAGAGGTTGGAGGGTACAGTGAAAGGTTTTTAGTTGACTGAAACAAATAAAACAAATCAAAACACTTTTTAGCACAGGCGCTTCCCTTACAAAAACAAATTGCTTGAATGCTAAGCACAGCAGTTTGGCCCAAGGAACAGGTACCTGGCCCCCAGCAGAAGATACCCCAGGGAGTGGGGGCCATTTGCATTGCTATCGAAATCCGGAAAGCCTTTCACAAAGCAGTTAATCTCTACACGGAAAAGGCGCAGTGATAAGATGTCAACTGGAGGAGGGACTCCATGTGGGGAGACACAGCATCCCCAGGGGACACAGCAGCAGCACCCCCACACCTGGAAACAGGAGCACCGCCAATGAACGTTGGGATGGAGAGGGAAAATGTGTCTGCAGGGTCCTTGGCGGCCCTGAAGCACCCACAGAAAGCACACAGTCTCGCGTGCTTTCACGATAACTTCTGTCCACACTGAATTGCATTTGCTGGCTCCCCCAGCAAATTACAGGTCTCCGTTTATATGGCTCTGTTCACCAATCGCCTAGCTAGTTCTCCCCTTCTCCCTAAGAAATCGCTGCTCTGAGTGAAACAACCGGGTGACAAGGACATGGGGCTTTCCGGGCCTTAGGAGCAGTGCAGGGCCCGGAGAGAAGGGTGGCACTGCCCCTTCTCTAACGTTTCAGTGGCCTTAGATTAGGGATACTTTTCCTAGGTCTGGAAAAATTAGGCACAAAGGTGGACTTTTGCTCCATCCCCCTTCACCACCAGCTCCACAACAACTCAGGTGGGGCAGGGAACTCGCCAGGCTTGTGAACGAACGGGCCCAGCCGGGCACCTTCTCTGCGAGCCACAGCAGCAGGCCTCCCGGCATCCTCCAGGGGTCACACTTGGGTTACACATTCCTCCCCGCTCTGTGAGCCAGCAGCCTGATTTGGAACAATTTATTCGGATCCTTCCTCATTAAGATTCCAATGCAATAAGTAAGATAGAAATTGAGCAGACACAGAAACCGGGCCTCGCCGCTCCTGCAGTCAGTAAACATTTATTCACTAAGCCCAGGATGTGTGTTCTCTCCCTTCCTGCCCCTCACTCACGGTGGTTCCTCCAATCCTTCCTGCTTGCTGTTTTAATGCATAATTAAGAAGGTCAGAATTAATGAAGCGGTGTGGAGGAAAGTTCAAGGAATCCCCAGGCACTATTTATTCTATTAGAGCCCCGGCGTGAATGTCAGCTTGGCAGCAGAAGGCGCAGAAGCAATGGGGCTGGCGCGTTCCCAGGAACACCCCACCCGGGGAGGCTCACCTGCACCATCAGGTCATTGCTGAGCTCCTGCCCCGCGAAAATCACACGCAACTGGTCAGCTGGAACCCCCTGTCGCTTAGCAACCACCTCCTTGAGCTGGAAGATGCTGGTGGCAGAATCGATTTCCACTGGGAAACCATGGCTGGAGTTGAACCTCACAAACACTGAAGGGGAAAATTGGGAGGGAGAAAAAGAAGTGAGCATTATTCAAAGCCCTGAAACGGCATTAGCAACATTTCTGGACCAACTCATCCCTAGTCTTGACCTTCAATGCACGGCATGCATTTTCTTTCACGTATAACATAATGCTACGGAACAACATTTGGAGCAAAACAGTTTCCCTGTAGGGTTTCCCTCTCATGTATTAGTCCGTGGCCCACAAACAGAATTGCATGCTCCATTTAACATCTGTCCTAGGGACCAGGGACTCAAGCAGAACACTTGCTTGATTGGAATTGTGAGTCCCCTGAGTGTATCAAAGACATTCGGCTCTGACAGCCTGTGCAAACACACACTCCCTTCCTCCACGGTGCCCTCTTCACAAAACTCAAACCATTGTGTGCACTCATATGGTACGTCCTCATTTGTCGTGGACAGGTTCTGTGACTTGAAGTGAAACGATGTATAACAGAACCAGCTTCACCATACGCTAATTGATATAAACAAAAGTTTCTATGGCACTTCATCAACACCATAAGGAAACAGTTATTTAAGGACCTGCTGTGTAGCAATGGAAACAATTCAAGCCCGTTTATGCACCAAGAGTGAAGACCCACGTGGGCCGTGTCTAAGAGCCCCGGGAATGGCTGGTCCCTATGAGACACTTACTCGCCTTTTCTTTCGAAACTAGTGGTGCCAGTTCCCTTCCTGGAAGCACTGGTCCCCTCAAGGCCCCGGCTGGAACCCCACAGTCTCGCGTGCCTTCTTTTCGCTGTCAGCTGCCTCAACACCTTGCCAGTATCTCTCATCTGTCCTTTCCCGTCTGTTCCTCCTGTCACTACTCTCATTAAATCTTTTTCCAAATTCCTGCAAGGGCCTCCCAGAGTCTTGACATACCCATTTCACTTCCAAATCAGCCTACACCATTTTGCAAAGCGAGCCTCATTAACCCAGAGCTCCGACCAGCTCGCAGCGCTGAGACTAAAGTCTCACACTGTCCCCTGGGGGGAGACACCAGGACCCCTCTCATCTGGCGCAGACCTATATTCCAGCATCTTCTCTGCTAGTCCCCACATGGACTCTGCTGAACTAAATGTTCCCAGAAAACAAGCGGACCTCTCGTCCCGGTATTCCTGCCACGCCCTCCTTCACCTCTGCCTGTGGCCATCGGGCTCCTCCATGAGCCACCTCGCATGTGACGCCCTCCACAAGGCCTCTCACTATCAGCCCACGGAGGCTGAGCTCAGGTCTTCAGGGCTCCCGGGCACTAACTTACAGTCATTGCCACGTTCTCTCATAGGAGCATGACGCACAGAGGTTACAGCTGCCCCCTGCGGGTCACAGGCACCCATGCAGCCGACCCTGGAGGCCCCTTAGCAGCTTAGTAGATGGGGGTGAACATATTAACCCTCACTCTTTAACTCTCGGTCCCTTAACTTCCACATATAAACAAACCATAGAGCGCGTTCTGTGATATGTCAAATAATGTGTGTAGTGTTCACAAGTATCGCATAGTAGCCTTCAAAAACAATGGCTGTTTGCATATGTCTCAGATGGTTTGGGTATTTCACCTTCTTTAGCAGGATAAGCTCCCCAAGGCCAGGCTCTACAGCTGATTTATGGCTCTGCCTCCTTTAAATGCAGCATTACCACTAACCAGTCTCAATTCAAATGTGAGATGTCCACCTAACAATAACTGTAGTAAGATTGCAATGCAGATAACGATCAAGCGCTCACGCCAGGCCGCAGTTGTACCTTCCACTCGCTCTTCGCACGCTTCCCAATGATGCAGTAGGGTCAGTGTTATTGCTGCCACTTAACAGAACGGACGGTGGAGGCCCAGAGAGCTGCAATCACGCTTCTAAGGACACCAGCTACTTTGTAATGGAATCAGAATTCAAATTCAGTTCAGCCTGACTGGAAACCCCATTCCATGTCTTCTGGAAGAGGCTGCCGAAAATAGAATTCTCAGAAGAAAGGGCCACATTCCTTTTCCTTATGATAAAACAACAACAGCCAAAAGTCTTCCTAACATAACTCAAGTGTTCCCTGTACAGGTGAGCAGTAGAAAATTAAAACAATAAAAGCTCTGGTGAGGAGCTGAGAGCAAAGAATGAGGAACAATGATTATAAGACAGAATGAGATAAAAATGACACCAAAATGAGAGCACGTAGCACCGATGACAAAAACCTGACATATTTTACCAGAATGGTAAAAAAAAAAAAAAATCAGGATTGGAAGTGACAAAAGTGCTCCAAATAAAGAAAATTGAAAGAAAAAAAGCAATTAAAGAGGATAAGATGCTTTTGATATACTTTTAAGTAGACGGCATGCGACACTGTTAAAAGTAAGGGGGAAAAGAATGTGCTAGAAGGCCCTTGAGGTATGTTCACAGCATCTGCAGATCAGAGACCATCAGACAGCCAATGCATCAGATACGACACAGGAAAAGTGGGGGTGATAAGGGACAAACGGTATGGTCCCAGGTCTAAATGTGATTTTCGAGTAGGGTGAATAGACTTTTAAAAAAGAAAAAATACCATGGGAAGAATATGGGAAGAAGCAACTTGGAACTTTATAAAAGCTACTAAAAAAGGGGATAGAAATTCTAAGAGATCCTAAGTGGATGACTTTTCTCCCTTATCTGCTAAATGGTGGTAATACATGCAACCTCAAATGCCTGTTGTAACGATGTGTTGAGATGTATGGATGCGCTATGAAATTTTGGAAAGAGTCCTTAGTACGGAGCCTGTTCTCACAGTACAGCGCACAACTGTACTCCAAAAATAGTCCCTTAGCATCAGGCACCCAGAGTGAAAGCTAATCAAAGCAGCATCCATTGTTTGTACTATAGCTAAGATAGATTGGATGGGATGAGGGCAAACACGACATCAAGTAGCCTGTTTTTCTGGTTTCCACTCCTCTTCACGAAGGACAAAAAACTCCAAGAACAAAGGGACACAATGTGAGCCATTAGCTTGTCTCCATTTTGTGAGATTTTGTCATATATTAAAAGTTTTGGTATGCGTTGTTTTAATGATACCTATAATAGCATCCGAAATAAATGCCATGTCAATAAACATTGTCAATAATGTGCGTTATCAATAAACACCATGATGCACTGATAAGATAAAAGGGCAGTGAGACACACCCACACTCGCTTCTTATGTCCCTGACCAGGGTTCTGAGGGTGCAGAGGGTAAGGGAGTGGCTGGTAGGGGAGAAGGAAGGACTCACTGCTCATGGGTGAGGGTATTTCTCGCAAGGCTGTTTTATTTGCCCTCTCTGACCAAGTATAAAGTTTTGAAATAAACTATGGCAGTTGCATATCATTCATCAATGATTACGGTCCTTACAGGGTTCTGGCCGACTGGAAAGCAGCCATACTACTCCTCAGGCACTGAGAGCAATCGTGGCATGTAGGTGGGGTGACACCCTCTCCCCCATTCCAGGAGTGAGCTTTCATGACCAGCACAACCCCACCCTCCCTGGCATAGTGACTGGCTCAAAGATGAGCATAAACCAATCAGCACATGGCATTCCCCTGGTCACAGCGATTGATTCCCAGTGATTGATTCCCAGGAGTAGGAGTGACTACGGTGGACCAATCGATGTGAAATTTAGGACTCGTCAAAGATTTTACACCAGTAAAGTAACCCCTCCTACACAACTGTATCTATGGAAGGGTCTTGCTTAGACACCTCAGATTTCCCTACAAGACCAAACTGAATATATTGTCTTTCCGGCTGTTAAGGACGCACCTTCAGCTGGCAACTTAACCACAGGCCTCTGCCTGAGAATGAAGCTCCTTTCAAAGCACAGCCGAGAACTGTGGTAAGAAGGGAGCCGTCCGGGTTTGAGCTCTGAGTCCAACTCACTGGCCACAATGTCTATCCGTGGCCACAATGCCTCCCCCGGACATTGCAGCCCATCTCTTGGTGTTATACATTAGGACACTGAACACGGTTTTTCTTGAGTGCAGCTCTAGGAAATAGCACCATGAAAACAACCATTTGATAAACCACCAGGATGAGGAGATTGCAAAATTATACCCTAGAATTAGACTGCATTTTTTTTTTTGAAACACAGCTCAATGGTAATTGACCTTGCACATACAATTTGACCATTACTGGGCTGTTACAAGGATCCAGGTTTTTCTTGGCTATTACCATTTTAAAAGCTATTATTTATATCACGTAACTCAGTGCTTAATTGTATTCTGATAACATCCTTTATTAACTTCTGACATAATTCTTAATTTCCTAACTATCACTAAGTCCTTTCGGATCAGAAACCTCATTTAGTCTCCCCACACTCGCCATCACAGTGTGAAACAGGTGGAAGCCGACTTGTTTGCTTTCCGTAGTGACCGAGTAACATGCTACCAGGCCAACTCCACTGCAGAAAACAACTGTAACATCTGGACTTCATGCAACAAGCAGGTACTTGAAGGCGCAGATGAGTGAAGAAAGGAAGGAAGGTTCTGGTAGGGAGCGCATGCCAGGAGGAGCACAGTCCTCTAAGCCCATTTTCACAGCTTTGAGCTTGCAGCCACCTGCACTCATTGTGGCAGGCAGGGCTGTGGGCACACTGTGACAAAACCAGTCTTTCTGGCCTGAAGAACCAAAACACTGAAACTGAGGAAACTTGCCTCTGAGAAGAGTAGGGGAAATTTCAGAAGGACAGGAGTCAGAAAAGGAATATTAAAATTCTGTCTACCCACGTGTCTGGCTGAGATGCTCTGAGTGTGTTATACACCTTAATGGTTTGGGGGTCACTGTGATAAGTCCTGCTGATAATGTATACCCTTGATATGATGTAATGAGAATGGCATTGTATCTCTGTTGGTCTTCCTCTCAGAAACACATAACCCAAGTCCAATCTTGAGAAAAGCATCAGACAAAACCCAATTGAGGGACAGTCTCAAAAATGCCTGACCACTATGCCAAACTTTCAAGGTCATCAATGACAAGGTAAGTCTGAAAAGCTGTCACCATCCAGAGT